ACTTTTAGGTGTTCTCCTTCACGGACTTCCTTGTTTCACATTTTCTCATGTCCTTATATTGCCACATTTTGGGTTTATTTAGTATTCTTTTGTTCATTCTTCAATATTGTCAGTTAGATGCTAATCCCTTGCTATACATAACTATGATCCATGAGGATTCTTTCTCAGGAATTCTAGACTGGAGCCTCTATATAATAAAGGCAAAGTGAAAGTTTTCTCATCGAATTGAATTAGACTCAATTCTGCCAGTCAATTAATGGGAAAAGCAGTCCAGAGGGGCTGGCTATACTTTAGCAATGCCCCTTCTTAACCAAGGCTCTTTGTTTGCTACAGTGATGTGTTGTGGCACCAAACCAAGACTATGGAATTTGGTCTCAAAGTGAAGAATACAGATCTGTGGGTTCATCTGCTCTACCCTCATTCTCTTGTGAGCTATTCTTTTGTTAATCATACTTCCTCTTCTGTATCTTGATTCCTACTGGGGCTCCCCCTCTACCCACTCTCAATCCAACTTTCCAGATGCCAAAATTTAGTACATGACCCAGGCTTTGCCATTCCAGATATTCCAACCAATCCGCCATAGTGGTTGCCTCGGTCATTGGGGTATGACAAATGATGGGCCAAGGACATAGTTCTGGGACAGTCTGGGCCAGTTGAAAAGGACAGAGCTGTTAGCTGTGCTGAGATGTATAGCGGTAAAGATGATGTAAACCTGGAGCTGCTAGGAATTTCGACATTGGAATCACAAGTCTGTGAATGAAGCCAAAACCCAGGAGAGCATCATCAAGGTTCTGAGGGTGGAGGCAAGGAGCAAGTCCAGTAAGTGGTATTTAGGTTCTTGGGTCTAGAGCATGATTCCTGAAATCAGACTGACATGAATAAATAAATACTGATTGTGACCTTGGGCAGTTTCTTAGCCACAGTGCTTTCATGAATGGGTTAATCCCATTACCAGAGGAGTGGGCTCATTATTGTAAAGAGGGTCCCTTACAAAAGGACCACAGGTCAGCCTTCTTTCTCTCTAATCCTATATCTTCCCTTCCAAGATACAGCAAGACGGTGCTCACAAGTTGCCAACCCCTCAGTCTGGGACTTTCCAAACTCCAGAACAGTGAGGAAATAAATTTTGGTTCTTTACAAACTACCTAGTCTAAGGTAGTAACACTACAAGTGGACTAAGACAATAATGGCACTTTAATTTGATCCTAACTGGAGAATTAAATATAATAGCATATATAAAGGGCTTAGAACACCATCTGACACATATTGACTGATTAATAAATGTTAGTTATTCTTAATACAGATATTTTTATCCATGGCTCTGCAGTTATATGCAGTAATAAATTCTCTTTTTTCTTAACCTGGTTTGGGTGGGTCTTCTTCCATTTGCAACCAGAGTCTTGTCTAATATAATAAAAAGCAGAAAACATCACGGTGTGTAGGTTTCTGACACGCCAAGTCTCTTTCTCTGCAGCAAGACAGAGAAGAAGGATCAAATCAACTGAATGTAGACCATCTGGGTCTCCTGACTTGATGTTGATCAGTAATTTCATCTGTGGTCTCTGGGTCCCCAACTCCTGGTTAGGAAATTTTCCTGATTAGAATCTTATTTGTCCACTAAAATCCTCTTTCTTCTATGTTACCAGTTAATAATATCTCTCTTATGAAATGTTATTTTTAATATTCACCAAAATACAAAATGTAAAGAATCAAACATAAGCTCAGAGATAGAAATGAAGAAAATATTTCTGTAATTAAAATATATGTTCAGTTCCTTTTGACTTAAGCCTTGAGCTGGAAACTTTTTCCATGATAGTTTAGGGTAAATACTATTATTACCAAGCAGCCTACATGCTAAACAGCATACTTTTCATGGTGTAGATTTCTGGAGGGATATGCAGGGGATTTGCATGCTTAATTCCCATTAGCACCTGTCACTGGGATTTATTATCCCAGAGTTAATTCTCCTCTGTCTGCAGCCAAGAAAAAGGAAGCCCTTGTATATGGATTTAAATGAAGCTTTCCATTTTTCAAAATGAAATGAACTTCATGTCAATGCCTTAAACACCTGCAATATTCCAACCCTAAAAATTCATATCTGGATACATTTTTTGGTGAAGATGTGTCCAGGTTTGCTTTTATTCAACAACGAGAAAAGTACACTCATAATTGAAAAGAGTAATGGAGAGAGGCAGTAGTGATCCAGTACTTAGATGAGTTTTAGAATCCATTGGCTCCTGTGCACCTACTCAATACTGAAAAATGTTAACTGACCATCTATAATGTGCTAAGCTATGTTCTACATTCGGAACATACTGAAAATAACTACTCTCCTTGAGAAGCATATATTCTACTGTAGAATATATATGTAGACATACACACATATGTAGACATACAAAACAGGTGCTACATGGGGAAATCAAAGCAGGTACATGCAGTGGAGGGTGATGGCTTTTTTCTACTTTAGGTGCATTCACCAGAGAAGGTCTCACTAGGCAGTGATATTTGAGCCTAGATTTGAGTAGTGTTCATAGACATTATTTCTTTCATGAAGGAAAACATGACAGCAAACAAAAACTAGGCAGAATGCTGATACACAGCAAGCCCATCTACAGCCTCAGGTGAGCTGTACTTTCTCTGTGAGCTGCTGCTTTCTCTGTCTTTGCTCCTGAGCTTCCAGGCTCCACTGGCTTTGCCACTTCCTCCCCACAGACCCTTTCCCAACCCATTTTCCTGCCCTCTTTAGGCTGAACCTCAGTACTGAACTGTGTTTCCCGTTTTTGTCTCTTAATCATTCTTTCAAGGAATTAGTTTCATGTAGTATTTGCTTTTGAGCACCTCAGTGCCCTAAACTGGAGAATAAGATAATTTCAACCTTCTTTAATTATTCTAGACTTCGAGGATTCTGCCTATGGGAGCCTTTTTGACAATCAGACAACCACTGCTAATTGAATATTAGCTCTCTATCAGGTTCTGTATTGGAGATGGGGACAAAATGATGAACAAGACAATGATGTGCTTTAAGAGAGCTAAATTCTAGTAAGAAAGGCAAGCAATAACATTGTAAGTGAATAAATTGATAAATCTCAGTACTGTTAATAGAATAAGTATGGGGATTTCCTTTATACTACTTAAGCTCGGGAAAACGGGTAAGAACAATATAAAATAACATCCTGTTTCCTTCTGTTGTTGTAATACTCGGGGGCAGGGTGTTAGTGGCCTTGATTTACTGTCTGATGTGGTAGCCACTGTCCACATGTTGCTAAATTTAAATGAATTAAATAAAATTAAAACTCCCAACGCACACTAGCCACATTGCAATTATTCAATAGCCATGTGTTTACTGACAGCAGAGAGATGAACATGTCCCTCCTCACTACAGAAAGTTCTGTTGAACACTACTAGTGCAGACAGCATGAGGCTGGTGGAACTCTTCCATCCATATGAACAGCAGTTAATAATTGCATGTGCCAGGCATTTCACATATACTTAACTCCTTTCATCTTCGCATAACCCTGTGGGATAATTAGTACTACTGGACCCATTTTACAGATTAGGAAGCAAACGGCCAGCCTTATTCCATATCATTCAGGCAGTAAAGCACTAAAAACTGGACCTCCAGTCTGGTACTAGAGTTTACCCTCTTACCAAAGTATCATGGTACCTCCGTGGGGGAAAGTGAAGGGATTAAGAGATCATGGTGTGGCGCACAGAGCCTCCATAGCAATGAGAAGTTGCTCGCTTTGCTGATGTCTTCACAGATATGAGTTCAGTTAATGACTCGCCCCAGACAGTTCTTATGAGTTAGAAGTTCAGAGGGCACTGGGGAAGCAGAACCATGGAGCGATGGAACTGAAAAGCATTAACAGGTCCGTCCTTTCACAGACAAGAAACAGCCATATGAAGTTTACCTGCCCTGCCCAGGGTAACAGAGAGAGTTAGGACCACAATCAAAACTAGAGGCTGTTTCCTGTGTGTTTACGTATGACCCGACTGGCACCCCAAATCTAACATTTCCCTGACACAATACTTATGAGTTGAAATTGTTCTAATCTGGAGAAGGGATTTTCTTCTTTCCAGAATGCTTGCGCTGCCACTGTATTTGATTTTCAATCCATTCGCCTCCCTTTTGTCTAATCCTGCCTTATTTGACTCTCCCGTTCTTCTATGCGTCCTTTACTCTCAACACAGGAATCCACAGCCTAACTACCCACACCAGTCTTTCTGAGTCTTACAGCTTTAGTCCTCAACACGCAGTTGGAAATCTCAGCAACGCGGCACAGGTTCTGGCATCACTTGAAGCGAGGGTCTACCCATTCCGTTCCGCATCTCTCCCGGGGAGAGTTACTCCGATCTTGCCTCGCCGCCCTTCACTCCTCCACCTTGCCAGCCACCAAGACGCACGCCCAGAAAGCGCCACTGGAGAAGCAGTTTGCACTGAGCTTTTAGTTTCTGTTCCACCGCAAGGAGGTCACAGGGTCTCCGAGCACAGAACAGTAACTGGCGCCAACGATCCAGAGACGGTGGGCTGGAGCACTGCACAGCTCCACGCCTTCTGCCATCACCCGGGCGAGTTCGAGCCCGCAGCCGAGCTCAGCAGCAGCAGGACCCGAAGTCTCAGAGCGGCGCGATCCGGGGCGGTCGGGCTCGTGCTCCGGGGCTGGAGGAGAAGCCGGCGGGCGGCAGGCCGAGCCCGAACCTAGGCGCCGCTCATCGCGGCGGCAGCCGGTGAACCCCGGCGGCCTCTGGTTCCTGCGCCGGGCGCTCGTCTCCTCGCGCGCTCCCCGCCGCGCCCGGGGCCCGCGCTTCGCCGCTCGCGGACAGCTCGGTCCCGCAGCGACCCGCCCGGGATCCTTGGGGGTCCGCGCAGCCCACGCCCGGGCCTGCGCCTCCTCGTCTCCCCGAGTGGGGGCAGCGCGGCGCTCGCGGGAGCCCGGCCGGCGGAGCGGGGCCTCCAAACTCCTCCTCGGCGGCTACTCCCCGCCCTCCGGCCCCGCCGCGGAGAAAGTGGAGCGGGGCGCGCGGCGCTGTTCTTCGGACGCTCGCGGCGCACGCTCCGGCGGACTCTCCCCGCTCTCCCCGCGCGGCCCCGCGCCTCTGTCGAGGATGAGGAAAGGTCTGCGGGCGACGGCGGCCCGCTGCGGACTGGGACTGGGATACGCGCTGCCCGCGCTTGTGCTACCTGCCCTGGCCCTGCTCAGCGCCAGCTCCGCCGCCCAAGGTAGGGTCCGCGGGCTCGCCGCCTCCTCCCCTCTGTCCTGCTCCCTCTCCTCCTCCCCGGCTCTCGGCTCCCCTCGGTCCGCCTCGGCGCTCCCACCGAGGGCCACTTTAAATTTCACTTTGCCAACTACTGACGGGGCTGCGATTGTGATGGTCTTTAATCTGCCTTCCGAGCAAAGCTGGCGTTGACCAGGGACCCGCGGGTGGACGCGCATTCGTCCCCGTGCCCCTGGGAGCCGGGTGTCTTTTGCACTTTCAGCTCCGCACGCGCACGTTGTTGCATGCTGTGCACCTGGAGGCTTGGAGAGACCTGCCGCGCGCCACGGATGCGCTCTGGCTCCCCGCGCCGTGCCGCGGCTGGGGTCGCGAGATCCCCCTGGAGTGTCCTTTGCCGCCGAGGAGCCGCTAGCGCCCTGCCCGCTGCGGTGAGACTCGGGCGAGGTGGAGACGCTTGCGCTGGACGCGCGTGCCGGGCCCGGCGGCCCCGGGTGCCCGCCGCCGCGCGCCCTCCCTCCCACGGGGCGGCGGGGAAACTTAGAAGCCCAGAGTTCCGGGGAGCGGGCGGGTTGTTCCAACCAAGCCGGCGACTCCCCGGAGTAGCCAACCAGTTTATGACTCTGTCTTTTTAATTTAACACATGTGAGCTTTAAAATAAGTGTCCGGGGCTCTGGGCAGAGCCAGGCTGGGAAGAGAGTTGTCGGAGTTAGAGGTGGGCAAGGGCGGAGGAGAAGCCGGCTGATTCTAGTCCCGGATCCGGAGTGGTAGCGGCAGCTTCCAGCCTTCAGAGCCACCAAAGGGGGGTGCACGGTTACCCCTCAGCGTCCCTCCTAACCTGGGCTCCTAACCTGGCCAAACCCAGCCCACACCTGGGGCTCTCTCATTCGCTGGGGATAGCTGGCTCTGAGGCAGAGAAGCTTCTCCTGGGTGGCGGTAGTGGTGGGTGTACTGGAAAGATGCTAATGCAGCATGGAGAGGCAATTCAGGGATCTCCCCTACACACACCACACACACACACACACACACACACACACACACACACACACGCACACGCATGCACCCCTCTCACACTTTCCGAATTTGGAGAGGAGAGGAGCCGGGGCGAGAGGCGGTAGTCCCAACTCCCCGCGGTGCTGGAGGCTGGTGCTCCATATTCGTCCGTTCATTCATCTCCGGGAGACGCTGAGGGCAGAGGGGGCCGCGGAGGTGGAGGGAGCGAGAGGAAGGCCGGCGTGGTCCGAGTGGGGGCCAGTGATTAGCAAGGCTTTGTCAATTAGCGATAGCTACTTCGGAGTAAATTTTCCTGTTGCCCTGCTAAGTGGCCAGGCTCATAAATCCTTCCTTCCTTTCTGCCAGATGCCGCCCGTCCCTGAGGTTCTGCTCTGGTTTTCTTAGGAACACCTCCAGAGATCCTCCGTCTGTCCATTTTACACAGGAATCTCCAGTGGAATGGTCTTGTAGATTTCTTGCAATTGGGAAGAAGTTGAGGCTCTGGGTTTGGCCTGGGATGCTGAGAGGACAGCATTTGGGAGCATAGATGAGCAACCTGGTGGGCATTCCTGGATCTCGGGGACTCCCCGTGGAATTTGCCTGCTGTTATTGGGCACACAAAGGACTGTGCCCAGCAGGGGTGGCACTCAGCACAGGGAGAACGGTTTGGCAAAGAGGCAAGTTAAAGTCCCCAAAGATGCCAAAAGGAAGTGAGTCCCTGCTGAGAGATTACAGCAGCCAAATTAAAGACTGAGGAGAAAAAGGATCAATAAAGATAATCAAACAGGAGATTGTAAACGGATTAATGTTGAAAGAAAGGAAAAGAGATTAAAAGAAAAGACTCAGAAAAGAGAGACTAAATATTTGGCTCTTGCACTTTTTCTTCTTGTAGACCAAGCAAGTCAAAGATTGAGTGTGAAGTTAAAAATGAAAATGTGTTCTGTTGGGCGTGTGCATTTCGGTAGAGTGCTTCTCCATTTATTTAGTTCCTTTAGTGCTGGATGAATAAAATTTTTTGTTTAAGTTGTGTGCTCTTTGAAATGCACTATTGCACCACTTTTATCTTTGTTTCCTTGCACGTTCCAGGACACCAGCTCTTCCCGTGGTGTCCGCTAGATATCAAAGGAGATAGAAAGCTCCAAAGTCTCCTGTCAGCTACTGTCATCTGTGCTGTTACCCTTACCCCAGCCTGTTTACCACAGAACCCTTGGCACTTTCCTCTCAGAATCACACAGGTTAGGTGGTCAGACAGGCAGATTTCCACTTCCTTCCACTCTTCTGCTTCCTAGTGTATTCAAGGAATGATATTCTTGTTCTGAAACGCTGAAGAGCAAAGACTAGAGCCTACTATTTTTACTAATGGAAATATGTATGCAATTAAAACAGAAAAGTTCATTACTTTCCAATGTGAATGAGGTTTTTTAAATCTGTTGTTGGAGAACTATTGGAAAACCTGGAAGCTTTTGAAAATATATATCTTTTCAGAGATAGCCAAGGAAAGATCCATATGTTTAAGATAAAACAACAGAATGGGTGTTATGTGTGAGCGCAGTGGGTTTGTAACTGTAGTGTATGGACAGACAGCAATCAGTTAAAACAGGGCCCTGGGAAATTCTCTGTCCTTTAGGCAACAACTTTCTCCTTTCTGGCTATGCTCTAATTGTTTCATTCAAGATTGCTGGGAACTCCTAGCTCCAGGGAATTTGTGGTGCTTCTGACTTCCTAGAATGATAGATTTTACTAGTAAAGATGGTGTGTGTGTGTGTGTGTGTGTATGCAAGTGTATGTTTGGTCAGTGCTTCTGAATTTGTGACATACTATCTCTTAAGTGGACTTTATCTGTGCTACACAGCATTGCAGTTCTGCTAATATAGCACCAACTAGTGTTATGAGTGTTAACACATCCAAACACAGCACAGAAAATACTTGGACTGTGATCAGATTGAAATCATTCTCTATTAAATTAATTGACAGGGTTTTTTTTTTAAAGAAAAACATGCAGCATACTGCTTCCTATGAAAGAATACAGAGTACTTGCACAGCTTTATATTGGTGTGCAATATAAAGTGTGCAAATTGACATTTGGCACTGAAGACAACTGGATTTCCTTACAACTCCATATATATTTCCTTTCTAGGAACAAACCCATGAACTCATTTGGAAATTTGCAATAAAAATAGGCCAGTTTTCTTTTATTTATAAAAATAATGTTGTGATTCATAGCTTTGAAAATGCTTAAAGTCTTTTTTAAAAAAACCCTTACAAGCAATTATAAAAAAAAAAAAAAGAGGCATCATTAGATTATAACAGACATTATTGATCTCCAGGCCTCTTTGCTTTGGATTTTGGAGGTTTGGAATTAAACAAGATGGGGTTCTGGGGTTACCTCCCATTGTACTTTAGGAACTAGTTGTACTCAGAATTCATAGTAATCTGTTTTAAACAAACTCTCTAGGATAGGAAAGAGGCATAAGTTCTGCTAGGCAAGCCCTCTAAGCTTACATGGCATTATTTAAGTATAATAGTTCTCTAATTTGTGCTGGGTTCTCCAGTTAATGCAAACAGCCAGAATAGGGTCTAGTAAGTCTTAACTACATTTAGCACTTTTCTGATTTAGGTCATGGCCTTGCCTGAGCAGCAGAGGGAGTCACTCTCAGAAGAAACCTTCACGTTGTAGACTGCATCCACTTCTGGAAGAGCAGGAGGAAAAAGGCAGGGGTGGGAGACCCAGCCAGTGCTCCTGCCTTGCAATTTTTGTCTACACTTTTTTGGTTTGACTTTTGTATTTGTTGCAGTTAAAAATGCAAACCTGTTCACATTTTCCTACAAATTAGAAACTTACTAGCTCATTTGGATAAGTATGGTATTATAGGTAAAGTGCACAGTTTTTGTGCCCTGTATGCAGTTTATTAGGGACACACAGTTGAATGAGACAGCTTTAGCCATTGAGAAGACAGACTTCTAAGCATATAGCATATAATTCGCTTTGTGTAATATAACAGTGAGCAAATGTATGGTACTTTCTGGATTTAAACATCCAAGATAATAATCATGGTCAGATCAGAGTTCTGGTATAATTCCTGGTGAAGGTTTCAGAATTTCTACACAGAGGAACTCAAGGGTGGTGATTTGGCTGGAGACTGCATTTTCTTAAAGCTAGGTTTTCATCTCAACATGTGTTGCTTATATTTAATATGTATTTTGCCTAGCTTTGGAGGGGCATAAGCTAAGGCCTGATGTTAGTGGATGCCCATTCGATCAGGCAGCATAGTGGCTACCACTGCCTTGTAATTCCATTTCCAATACCTCCCATCCATGTGGCACGCATAAGATAGCCTCTTTTGCCACAGTTTCCTCATATGTAAAATGAGAATGATACATACTTTGAGGTCATAGTAGCATTAAACGAGTTACTACATGTAAATCAACTATAAAGCAATGTTTAGCTCCCAGAAAGTAAATATTATTCCTTGTCTTGAACTCTACAAAACATGGGCAAATCTGAGACATTAAAAAACTTAAAGGTCAGTGTGTTTGAGTGCAGAGTGAGGAAAACTGGGTGCTACTGCCCCGAAGAAAGAATGGAGCAGGCTGCACAGAAGTTCCAGAGTGGACCACTGCAACTCCTGACAGACCAGGTTCTTCACAGCCTGGAGGCTCTCACCTCCCCTTGCAGCCTCTTTGTCTCTCTGGGGAAATGAACTATTACAGCACTAAACAAGCCCACAAGTCAAATGAGTGTCAGTTCAGTCTTGGCAACAGTCTTTATCCTTGATTTTCTATCTTTACATGTAATATTGAAGATAATTTTCATAATCCCATTAAAGACATCTACAGAAAAAACTAAAACAAAAATCATGTTACATCCCAAATGTTTCTGCTAAGAGTTTGGAGAAAATGACTCCTTTTCAATAATCTAAGTGTTTGTCAACAATCTAAGAATAGAATTGAATACATGTTAAAATGACACAAAGAAATATATAAAGTATAGGTTGACATGAAGACAAATCAAAT